TGGGGAATTGGTATCTTCCCAGCGGGGGAGGAGGGGGCCAGTCTGCGGGGAGACGGGGGTTGGTGGAGGTGCGTTGGTGCCGGTTGACGATGGTGCTGTGGTGTTGTTGGTGGTGGTGGGGGATTTTAGAGTAGCGGAGGCGGGCGGGGTAATGTCGTTGTCATTGCCTTCATTTTCCGAGGCGGAGGAGAGGGATTCATCTTCCCAGGAGTCTGCGACGGGGGACGACTTTTTCTTACTGGGGGCGGGCTTCTTTTTGTTCGTGCTGGTGTTTGTATTTATGGTAAGGTTTTTGAGGGAGGATTGGAGGGGTTCGGTGGTGTCTGCGGCGTTGCTTAGCTTGTTGGCTTTTGGAAGTGAGATGGTTAGTTTTTTGGAATGATACATACCTCTAGAGCGGTCTGCCATTGCTGGAAAACTTGCTTATACTAGATGAATCGAGAGACGCAGGTACATATCGTCTGCTTCTCCTGTTCTCCCTCTCTCCACATTTTAATCTACCTGCTGCGAGGGGCCGAGATTTGCCTTACATAAGCCAGCATTGCCAAGACATTCCCCGCCTTTTTGGGATTTAAGATTGTCACGTGGGCGCTAACCGGTCTAGGCGGGATTAGGTAAGCGGCGGCCCGCAATGGAAACAGAAATAAAGACTCGGGATATCAACGACAGGAAAATAAAGAGACACGTCAAGGGTCATGAGAAGAAGAGTCTCCCGATGTTCGACACCACGTTGTCAATAACTTTACAACTTCCTGCTGTCATCGCGCACGGATTCCCTCCGCAACAATGCCTGCTGGCGATCTCCACTCTCGCTCCATAACCTGGCGACCCTCACGCACTTATCACTGACGGATTTCCAGCCAAGACATATATGACACAAAAGTCAAACTCAAAACTCGAGAGATCGGATTCAAGCCTGAAAAGGGTTAATTTTCCTCTCGATATTACACAAATAGTGTGTTTGCTCCTGTTCTTGCAGTGAGCGGGCATCCTCCGTTCCGCTTGGGCCAAGATCATGCTCTGAGGTTCTGATGGGTCCAGCTAGAAACTGGCTTCGGCTAAATCCCGAGGCTGTTGGCTTAGCTGCATCATTCCTCTGGTCTCGGGGCGGCTGGGATCATACCTTGCCTCCGAGAAATTAGCCGTGGCGAATGGTTTCGGCATACACTGCTGGAATTGTGAAGGGGACTTGGGGACTTCGTTTCGCCAACGAGGATTCTATGGACAAGTGATGCATACCAACAACGACTATGGAGATATATGATTTTTTTCCACATTAGGAACACTCAATTGATTTTGAATGGAGGCGTTTTTTCTCGAAAAGGGCCTCCCAATGATAGTGACCTCGGGATTACGGGTATGACGTGCACACCCTATTTCCGAGCTCGGCTAACTATGGAGAGGAACAAGCGTCTGCCCCTCTGCGAACATCGGACCAAGCTACTCACTTTTCTTCGAGTCTTCAAGATGTGGTGCTTTCTTGTAGAGCCTCTGCACGCTACTGAGATCACGCCCTGGCCTAACGTCGTGTGTGGAGAAGATGCCTCCGCTCCGTCGATATAATTCATGCTACTGCTGATAATTTAACAAGCTCCCCTCCCAGCCGTCTTCCCCAGTCTTTTATTTTATTTCTACGCTTATAGATATTATTCCTATTTCCTCTCTCCTTCCTTTTCTTTTGGAATTACAAAACACAGCGCCTCCAGTTTTTCTTGTCCCTTCAATTTCCCTTGCTGTCGCAGGTCTGCAAGACTGGAAATTTGATGTTCCAAGGCGCATCCAGCAACCAACCTGTGAAGATTTGCGGCCCGAGGCTCAAGAGCCATGACCTTCAACTCCATATCTCCTTCGCTGGCAACCCGCCGCTTCGGACCACGAAAGGTGGCGCGAGCTGCCAAATGCTTGAATTCCAGATTTTCGACATCGTCGCGAGCACAGAGCTATGCTGATACCCTCCCTAATCTCAAAATTGGTGCTCACACGCGAGTTCTTTTCCAGGGCTTTACTGGTATGTGGAATAAGTTTCTTCATCGTCTTTTGTATATGCGATTCATGTCTATAATTTGGTACTTCTAATTCGCATCAGTAGCTAAACTTTAAAAAATAGGCAGACAGGTACTCCCCCCTCCCCCTCCCAACAGCGGCTCATTAAACTTCGAACGACTAAGATGTGACTGGAGGCAACCGCAAATGTAAAAGAGTCCCTAGCATGGGGTACCAAGATTGTAGGCGGTGTAAAGCCAGGCGTCGAGGGCGAACACCTTGGATTGCCTGTATTCCCATCAGTGCGAGTGGTAAGTCTATCAGCCTCGTCTTAACCCAGTATATAAGTACGCTGCATATTGACAAGTGGTTGCTGTTGTTCCCCTTTCTTAGGCACAAGAAAAGGCAAAGCCAGACGCAACTGCAGTCTACGTTCCTGGAACACAAACGGCGCAGGCAATTGAAGAAGCCATCGAAGCAGAAATCCCGCTTGTAGTTGCAGTTGCAGAACATGTTCCGATTCACGATATCATGCGGGTGGGTGCCGCCCATCTACTTTCAAGGGTTTTGATTTGGTCTAACGAGAACATTTCAGATTCACTCGATGCTCAAAACCCAATCGAAGACACGTTTGGTAGGTGCCAACTGCCCAGGTATCATTTCCGCCATTGGAAAATGTCGAATTGGATTCCAGCCTCTTCCCTGCTTCTCCCCCGGCAACATTGGAATCGTCGCAAAGTCCGGCACTCTTGGTTACGAGACCGTCGCATCTACAACTCGCGCCGGACTAGGCCAGAGCCTTTGCATCAGCATGGGCGGCGATGTTCTGGCTGGTACAGACTTCGTGGATGCGCTGAATATTTTTGAACATGATGAGGATACACATGGAATCATGCTTGTTGGTGAGATTGGAGGAACCTCTGAGCTCGATGCCGCAGCATGGATTGCGGACTATCGCCGGCGCACTGCCAACCCAAAGTACGGAACCTTCCCGAGCTCCGTGAAACGTTGCTAACAGATAGGCAGGCCCATAATGGCGTTGGTTGGCGGGCTTCAGGCCCCTCCAGGAAGAGTGATGGGTCATGCAGGCGCTTGGGCCGCTCCTGGTGAGCCGGATGCAGAGACAAAACTAAAGGCGCTGCGAGATGCGGGCGCTGTCATCGTGCATCACCCTGAGAAATTTGGAGAGGGCATGAAAACGTTGCTGAGTAGCTCTGGCAGACGCCCGGGACTGTCCGTGAGTTTTTGGCTCCAAAAATATAGAAATTATATTTCCGCTGACCTCATCATAGTCTTCTGCTGCCGCTGTTGGACAGCAGAGAGGATTCCATACATTACGGCGACCAGCCGTTCATCGACAGCCCATCACAACGCAGCGCAGAAACCTCTATCTCAAACAATCTCAATCACTCGACCTGCTTAAAGAAAAGGGAGTAGCAGTTGGCGGGTCAAACCAACCCAGCGATTTCTTTCTTGGCCTCTCGATTGATCGCAACTCCCATTCTCCCTGCGTAATCGCCTCTCCCACCACCGACCCCGCAACCTCCCTCTCGCTCTCTCGGAAATTCCCATTTGACTATAACAAGAAGGAATTCAGAGCCGATGGCGCCGATGTGCAGGCAATTGCAAGCCATATTGGCCTCGGCGAGTCTGCTCTGGAGCCTCTCGCAAGGCTGTCGCAAAACCTTCTCGATATCTACATGAGCAAGGAAGCATTTGTGCTTGAGACACAAGTTAGTGTCACGAACGACGGTAGCTTCCAGGTTAACGGTGCCCGATTTGGTTTCGATGATGCTGCTTATAAAAGCTCAAAGAGACAGGAGGATATCCACAAGCTTCGGAATAAGGCCGAGGAGGCCCCTGAAGAAGTAGAGGCTGAGAAGGATGGTATTGTCTATGTCAAGTATGTCCCATAATTCCTAGATATTTGGTTTCACTGCAGCTAAAAAGAAATTTGTATAGACTTGGTGGAGAAGGAAGTATCGGTACCCTCGGTAAGCCGACCCTCCCCTGACCTTGAAAACACTTTACTCACCGCTTCCCATTATAGTTAATGGTGCAGGCCTCGCCATGAATACGGTCGACGCCCTGAGCCATCACGGCGGCCACTGCGCCAATTTCCTCGACACTGGCGGCAAAGCCACCTCCGAAACCGTCAAGTCGTCGTTCCGCATCATCCTCTCTGATCCCCGCGTCAAGACCATCTTTGTAAACATTTTTGGTGGTCTGACGCTCTGTGACATGATTGCTAACGGCATCATCATGGCGTTCCGTGACTTGGATATGAAGGTGCCGGTAGTTGTGCGTCTGAGGGGGACGAATGAGGAGCTTGGACAAAAGATGGTACGTATGCAAAAATTTAGATATTCCCTTCTTCCTTCCGTGGTCTGTTGCGTGCTGACCACTCCCGTTTTTTGAAAATCTAGATCGCCGAGAGTGGACTACCTCTACACGCTTTTGACTCGTTCGAGGATGCTGCGAAGAAGGTTATCAGCTTTACTCGTTAAATATTTCTCTCGCCTTTCCCGTGCCAGCCTGGATCTCCCGTCGTCTCTATACCAACCAATACACTGCCTCCCATACCTACGATGCGCGAGAAACGCTATAGTTCAATCATCTTCCTTTTCTATTTGGATATAATTTCTGTCAAATACCTTTTTCTGGGCTATTGTGGATGATTGCCCCTCCCAAGCATTTTTGGATGTAACAGCGTTTTGAGAGCTTGTCCGCGATAGAATTGTTTGGTGGATATATACCATATAGATAGACGAATATATGAACTAGTTTTGAATTTTGAAGTTTCTAGAGTAACCAATTCATAGTGAAAAAGTGCCACGATGTGTATTTCTGATCCGATTTTGGGGTCTCTACTATTCCCCTTTTTTCCATCTGTACGGGGATGCGATTTCGTGTGGTGATAAAAATCGCCACCCACTCCATAAATAGCGCGGTTCGGCCACCCCACCAATCCTTACCCACGCCCAGTGGCGTAACGGTTAACCCGCCTTTTCACATCTGAGGGACTGGCAGAAGGGTAATGCGTAGCTCTCCTATGATTGGACAGTTAGACGTCCCGAAAGGGATTGTCTAGGACCAAGCTAAGCTAAGATTGTGGGTTCGAGTCCCACGTTCCTCGATTCTTTTTTTTTTTTTCCCTGACCCTTGATTTTATTTTTTGAGTTATCATATTGTAAGTGGCATTTGTTGTGAACAGGGTAAAATGAGGTATGGTTTTGTTTTCGTTTTTGGTTGGTTGTATTTGCGATCTGTGGTGTATTTAGGCGATGTGCAATACCTTTCTATTGCCATTGAGGGGCAGCTTGATATCTCTGTTGATTAATTTAAGTTATACGTTACGATGGCAGCGGTACGCCAACCCCAACAAAAACCCATCTATCATTACCCTGGGTTAGGGCAGATTAGGGATAGCTGCGGTGAGAGGGGATTAGCTTGCAATTCGAGCCGCCTGAGAAATAAAATCTGAGTATGATTCTCATGCCACACTGAACCGCTTCCCCCCAGCCTCTATCACAATGACTGACAACCTCAACTGCGGAACGGTGATCAAAGGTGATTGATTACGCCTTCCACCTACTACACAACGTTGAAACCCATCAGCAGAGACAATACTGCCGACCACCGCTCCAATCCCGTCGACAACTATATCTAATGTTCGGCGCCTCCGCTGCAGGCTGGACGGCTCTTCTGGGCTGGTCCTCTGGACACAGCAGCTGATGAAGGATGCAACGGGTTATCTCCACCATGAGACAAAGAGCAAGCATTCCTTCTCTTCTCTTATCCCTGAGATGATGCAGCTGTTTCTGCTCTTTCTGTTCCCTTTGCGGCTGCGGCTTTGTCATGCTGCATCCCAGACTGCAACATAACGATATGTTTCTGGCCATCCAACAAACGCATGCCAGGTCTCCCCTGCATCCCCAAGGCAACAATGTGCCTTCATCATCATCCTAATTATCATCGTCATCATCATCGTGGGAATAACTCCCGATGCAGCTGGCTTCCAGATGCGTTGCTGACTCAGCCTCACCACCGAGATTTTTCCATCGGGCTAGATCGCGGCCAGTGCCGGCCGCTGATTGGCTGCGGTGCTGGACCTCGGCTCGCAGTCTGCGTTCCTGAGCCCGACGGCCAACCGCAAAAAAATCTCCGACGATACGAATACGGTTGTTGGGTCTGCGAAACTCCATCTGCGCCCGTCCTCCCGCTGCAGTGGCGGATCTCCCTTCGACTGGGCGGCTACCAAACGACCTTGGAAAGACTCTTGCAAACGGTGGCCCAACCGCCACACCTGCCCGTCATTATGTTCTGGTCCCGTCTCCCTGCGTCCTCAGGACTTTATAAATCCCCCTTCCGTCTCTCAACAAGCCAGCTCCTCTCATCCACCCCCGCTTATCGGACTCCGTTCTCTCGCTCATTCGTTCCCGTCCGACCCATTCGTCCGCCCCATAGGCCTTACTCAACAAGTATGTAATCCTTCTTCCCCGTCCTTGTCTTTTTCCCTCTGTATGCTTGCGGAAACCCTCCCTCCCTGGCTCCAATCACTAATAACTGTGTTGCCTGCTGATAGATCGGACTGCCTCCACCGTCCTTAAATCCTTCGGCCGCCTCGTGGGCAGCATAACGGTATCCTTCGCGTTCTTTATGGCAGGAGCTGCGTTAAGCCCCTACGGGACCTCGAATTCCCTCTCTGTCGCGCCGGAGGATGTCACCCGCGAGATTGACGAGTTCATTGATCAACATCCCCTCGCAGCCTCCCTGCGCGAAGATGCGCGGTTTTCAGAATCGAGACCACACATGAAAATCCCCCCCGCGCTGCGAGAACGCAACTTTACGGCGGGCACATTGTCGGGCCCGAACAAAATCGCCGTGCCCCCATATGTCTGGTCAGAGGCCGGCGGTAAGAGTCTAGTCGCCATGCTATATCTCGGGTCAGATGTATCTGGCCACCCCGGTCTGGTCCATGGCGGATTGCTAGCAACTATTCTTGACGAGTCGCTTGCGAGATGCTGTTTCCCCGCGCTTCCCAATGGCATTGGTGTCACGGCCAATCTTAATATTGATTACCGTAGCCCGGCGCCGGCGGGTTCCTTTTTCGTCCTGCGGGCAGAGACTACAAAGGTTGAGGGGCGCAAGGCGTGGGTAGAGGGGAGAATCGAGACGCTCCCTGATGATGGGCAGGAGCCGGTTGTTGTTGCTGAAGCGAAGGCGCTGTTTATTGAGCCGAAGCATGCTGCCGTACGTTTTCCCCACTTTCCTGGAAAAAAAGTCTCCCCGCTAACAAGTTGTATAGGTTCTTGCACCTCTCTATAAAATGACCTAAAACCACCTTTCCGACGGACGACCTGAGCATTTAGCGAAATCACTAATAGACAGGAGCATATTTTCCTTCTGCTTGATATCCTGGTCATCTTATGCGAAACCCGCCGGTTAATACGCAGGGAAGACGTTTAGAAAGATGAGCCACATGATTTGTTTAGACCATTGATTTTCTTCTTTTTCGAGTTTTTGGGTCAATACAGGCATATATTGTTTTGCATTTTATATACTTTACAGACATGTAATTTAGCTCTGTTGATTACTATTTCTATTTGCTGTTTATCTATGTCAATTGTTTTGCCCCGTTCCCCCTTTTTTTCGCCGTGGGAGTCGATGGCATATCCATCCATAATTCCTCGGCCAACCAATCAAGGAACCCGGATTTTATTCATGTGAATTAGATAACTAAAGTCTCAGTATTTCAACATAAAGGTGTTGCGCAACGGTCTAGGGAAATGTGGGATACGTCCGTTCTAGGGGTTCTCCCCTTCGGGATAGAACGAACTCATTTCCCCTGTCTTAGCCCCTATTGATCTCGTTGGCCTACACCTTGATCAGTTTGAATATCCTATAATGAAAATGAGATTGGCGAATGTACCTTTTGGAGTGAAACTACTGGAGGTATTTTGGAATAGATGTTTTTATGGCTGTTCGATTCATGAATATATATTGTGATGTTCTTCCTCTAGAACCTTGACATCGTGTGTAAATATCTTGAAGATAGGAACCCGACTATATAATTGGCCAAACAAGAATATCCTAGAATGTCAACCTAATCGATCTTCTAATGTTATCCTCCCTGAGTGTTTTGAGGAATCCAGAAGGTTGAGGTTTTGATATCTCCGCAAGGTCGAATTGTGATTGGCCTGCGCCCACCTGACCGTGCTGCGACGTGATTGGCCCGCCAACCACCACCGACCTCACCTCATCCACAGCTCCAACATCAACATCATCGGGGTCAGATAGACCACCACACCGATACGTGTTTAGCAGCCGTCCTCCACGGAACACAACATCCTCTCCTTTCCTGCGATATACCCATGCCCCCCTCATAGGTAAAAACACGGCTTCCATCACCCGAACCCCCCCAGCTTCCATCCACCCCTCCCGTCTCCCCTACATACAACATCCGCAACCATGTCCAAACAGCCCAAATACATCCTCCTCTCGCTTCCCAGCTCTATCGCCCCCTCGCACCACCGCGACGATGCCCTCGACGCCATCAGCAAAACCATCACCCCCGACAACGGCACCGTGACCCCCTTTGCGATCCCGGAGTTCAAGATCGGCACCCTCGACGGCCTCATACAGCAGGCAGAGGAGCTGGCGAGGCTAGAGTCGGCCTGCCAGGGTGTTGTGGGGAAGGTCGGGGAAGCGCTGAAGAGTGTGCTCGAGGGCGATGAGGAGCGCATTGCGGAGTTGAAGCTGGTTAATGATAGTACGTGCCGGCATCTTGCGTGGTGGTTCCCTGGCGGATTGCTGACTGGTTGGTCTGTTTGGTAGAGCCTGTTGATCAGTATCTGAAGAGTTTTCAGTGGAATAAGGTCAAGTTCCGGGCGGATAGGTCGTTGGCGGAGTTGATTGATATTCTGCAGAGGGTATGGCATCATTAGTTTTGTTCTTGTGTTGGGGTTAAGCAATATGCATGCTTACCGGTTGCTTTATAGGAAGCGTCCAGCATCGACAATGACGTCCGCGGCAAATTCTCACAGTACAACCAGGTCAAGACTACGCTTGCTGCGCTACAACGGAAACAAACGTATGCACAACTGAATAACCACACCGGGCGTTACCTTGTTTCCTAACACATTGCTTTTCCTAGGGGTACATTATCCACCAAGTCCCTCGCATCTGTTGTCGATCCCCGCCTCCTCGTCCAAGACTCCGAGTATCTTGAAACACACCTAATCGCCGTCCCCTCCCGCAGCACAAAGGAGTTCCTCCGGACCTACGAAACCGTATCGCCGATGGTTGTGCCTCGGTCCTCGACTTTCGTTGCATCCGATGAGGAGTCGACTCTATACGCGGTGACGACATTCAAAAAGCACAGCGCGGAATTCATCCACAAGTGTCGGGAACACAAGTGGACACCCAGGGACTACAAATATGTTGAAGGTGGGCAGGAGAAGGAGCGGGAGGACCTTGATCGGGTTGGTGGTGATGTGCAGAGGCTTTGGGGAGAGACGTTAAGGCTAGGCCAGACGATGTGGGGCGAGGCCGTGATGGTTTGGATTCATGTTTTAGTTTTGAGGGTGTTTGTTGAGACGGTGCTGAGGTATGGGTTGCCGTTGGATTTTGTCTGTGCGTTGGTTAAGGTACGTATTCACTCTGTTCCTTTTCGACTCCATACTCTGCCCTCGCTGGGCCACTCTGCTCCCCATATATCTCGAGCTAACCCGCATCCAAAAAGACTACACCCAAACATTCCGCAAAAGTAAAGTCCCTCCTCGACAACTCCTACTCATACCTAGCCGGCAACGCCTTTGTGCGCGACAAGAAAGGCCGCGTACGAAAGGATGACCCATCAGAGATGCATATCAGCGGCGCAGGCGGCGAGGGTGGCGGCGAGTATACGGCTTATGTATATTATGAGATTGAGTTCGAATGAGATGGCGTGTGTTATGTCGCATGGTAGGGTCTGGGGGGGAAGTTTGATGCTCTTTAACGGCCTTTGGATGCAGAGGGCGGTTAGTCATCCCTGTCGGGCGGACATTTTATATATATGATTTTTGTTTGGGCCTGAATGTTTAGCAGGTCATTGATTTTGAGTGCATTATTTTAGTTGGGCACGCTTCTTGTGTG